TAGGGGTTGGGGTTTAGGTGTTGGGGTTGTAGGGCCTGAGGCCCTTAAACCCGAAACTCCGAAGACCTAAACCCCCAAGCCCTAAACCCCTAAACCCTAAACCTTAAAGGGGTCGTAGCGTCAGTGGCACCAGGCATCCCGTGCCCGGCCAGCGCCATCGTACCACCCGCGGTAACTGCCCCTTCTTCGCATAAGGGGCTCTTTAGCGACCTCAGGGTTTAGGGTTTAGGGGTTTAGGGTTTAGGATGTAGGGTTTAGGGTTTTGGGTTTAAGATTTACGTAAGGTTTTGGTTTAGGGTTTAAGGCTTTGGGTATTGGGTTTAAGTTTCAGGGTGTAAGGTTCTGGGTTTAGGGTCAGAAGCGGAGTATGGGGGTCCCGGGTCAAGATCATGCAGAAGATGCTTTTGAAACCCGCATTGGGTGTTACACTCCCCAAACCAAAATGCAAACCCACATACCTTTAAAGTGATTATAGTCTTTATAGGGTCCTTTCAGGCGTCCATGTTAGCAAGTTTCCGCGAGGGTAGTATGTTGAATTGGAGCAACATGGTCCAGAATACGGGGAGTTGGTAGTATGTTCAAGAAGGACAATATAGTCAATATAGTCAACAGTATTGGGAGTTTTCATCATTGGGGGTCACCCGTAAGCACCATGAAAGACTTCAATCTTCATACCAAGGGCACCGCATTAAGCCAACAAGAGGAGGCCTGGTTCAGGGATTAGGGGTAAGGTTTGGGGGTTAGGGGGTTTTGGTTTAGGGACTATAGGGGTTAGGGGCTGCAGTCTAGGGAGTTGGAGCTGCGGGTTTACGGGTTAGGGACGCCCCACATCCGCTTAGAGCACAGGGTTCGAAGCATGGAACCCTTCTATGAGGACACCGCCAATCTGTGAATGATATAATAATAAGTCCAGAGGCTCCATGTAGGTATATGGTGCATACTTAGGGCCCAAAGGGGTTCCCATATCCTACTTCAAGGCCCAACTATCTACCATATAGCTACATGGGCCCTTTGGGAAACAGTTTTTTGGGCTGCTGTTGCTGCGAGCAGCAAGGTGTGAGCGACTGATAGACCCTTCAGCTGAGGTGTGCAAGTTTGACAACCCGCCAGTGACACCTTTCTTCTGGGACTCTTCATGCTACATGGGCATGAAGGGTTGCCTTGCAGATGGACAGCACATTGGTTGCCGGTTCTGCGGAGCAGGCGCATGAAATTTGAAAGTCTTTGTAGGGCGGGGGGTGTCAAGACTATGGTTCCGTTTGAATAGCCTAATGTTAGTGGCCTCATTATAGTCTCCAGTCACGGCTTTTCATGGACCTGTCCCGCGGCACGAGGAGACCCATGATTTACTTACTGGGACTACTTAGCAAGGAATATGGGGATATATCACATAGAAATTATCTTCCCTTGTTCCCTACTAAGAATCAGTAAGTTTATGACAGGCAACTACTCCGACATCGAGTGTCCAGCTAGTGTCTGCAGCTTTGGAAACGAGCCGTGGACGCCATACTACTGGGACGATTTTTGCCAGTGGGGCATGCTAGGACTGCCCTTAGGGCCCTAAACCCTAAGCCCCTAAACCGTTCAGGGTGTAGGATTGGTCAGGCGTAGGCAATGGATGAATGGAAAACACAACGGACAACTACCATATTCTTGGGGAGCACATAGGGACTTCTATAACTGGAGATAAGGATCCATTCTCCATTTCCTGCCAATAACCCCTAAACCCCAAGCCCGAGACCCTGAGCCCTAAACCGCTCCAGTTTCTTCCTAGCAACCAGTAAGTTGCTTTGTCAGAGCTGCCGCGTGAGGGGATGGGTCAGAATTCCGCTTCCCTTCTCTAAATGGTAGGTTCCCCATATGGGGTCAGAGGTCTTACGGTTTAGGGTTAGGGTTTAGTTTCCTCAAATACGTGTCCCAGTGTGGACCCCAAAAGTATTACAGCCCTTAAAATTGAGACCCCCCAAATGGGACCCGAAATTTCCGGAAGCCCCCAAATCTCTGAAGAACTTAGACCCAGGAAGCGAGAAGTTTAGGGAAGCATGTCGGAGGCTCTAAGCTTGACTCCTTGCCATGTGGGGGCTTGTAATCCCCCTTAAGTAGAGAAAATATGGCTTTGGGTGTATTATAACAGGTTCCCCATATTACCCCATATTCTATCTACATAAGGGGGACTATAGCTTTAAAACCCTAAAGCCCGAAAACCCTAAACCCTAAAACCCCCTGAAGGATGCAATGCAGATGGCATGCACATCCAATGTCGATTCTGTGATAAGGCAGCCTGGCAGAGATGTTATGTGCCATGTTGTTGCATGAGTGATGCATGCGCATTGCTTCGTGCAAGTCGAGTGGTGAGATTGGCAGCAGGTGCCTTTCCAGGGCGTTCCATGTCCGGAAAAAGCTCGACCAGCTTACCCTGATGGGAATCTTGATGCAACCTTAGTGCAGCCCAAAGGCTCCACGTAGGTATACGGTACATACTTTGGGCCCAACGGGGTTCCCATATACCTACTTTAAGGCCCAAGTATCTACCATATAGCTACATGGACCCTTTGGGCAACTACCTGTGCGTATCTACTGCTTTGGTGATACCATGAGGTAGTGGTAAAGCACTGAATGCTTGATACATGGATGTGTCGCTGCATACCTATCTACACATTGGCTGGCGGTGTATATTACACGTATTTGCAAACACATGGGTGGTTGTCAAAATTATGGTTCCTTTTTGGATCCCTATTGTAATATGGCACCTAATATTTAGGGTACTCAAAAAGGGACCATAATTTTGACAACCACCCATAGGATATTCCCTTACTAGAGTCCTTATTATAGGGACCCCCAAAAAGATATCCCTAATTTTGGGAAACTCCCACACATATCAGTGCACTAGCAGTGCCAGTGTCTGCAGTGTCCTTGGCATCCGAAGGCAGTGCTGGTTTCCTGCACAATCTCCTCAGGGCCAAAGCGACACGGCTAGGATTTAGGGTTTAGGGTTTCAGGTTTAGGGTTTAGGGTTTAGGGTTTAGGGCTTAGGGTTTAGGGTTTAGGGTTGAGGGCTTAGGGTTTAGGGTTTAGGGTTGGGATGTAAGATGTTGGGTTCATGGACAACTTGGCAGCACGCATCTTCATTTGCCCCCAACTTACTCTTTGCTTGTGGGGAATGGAGGCATAGTCATGACAAATTGATCGCGATGGTGCTCCTACATACACACCCCAAAAGGCAGTTTCCATCTGTGTTCCGGGCCAACATTGACAACTATACCCTGAACTCTGAGCTCTACATGTTTATACATATGTAAATATATATATATACACATACAGACCATCATGTATCCCTGAAAACCCGGTTTCCATTTCATGCTCCATGTCCTTTGCCATGTGACTGTCCATTCCATAAGCCCTGAAGTCCACTTTTTCGGATATAGGGTCTATTGCAATCCCAAACCCTACACATTTGTAAATACCCCTCTATGTCTCTTGTAAATATCACTTGAAAAGGGACCCCAAATTAGCGGAAACCCTAAACTATAGAACCTTATATTCTGAACCCTAAAGCCCAAACAACAATCCGAAACGCTAAATCCTACATCCTGAACCCTAAACCCTAAGCCCTAAAACCCTGTGATTAAAAGCACGAAAGCTAAACCCCCAAACCACCCTAAACCCTAAACCCTCCCAAAAAGCTGAGGCCACTTTTGGGATGAGACCTGCAAGTGGGGGCGAAAGGGATGCTGGGCGGATGGGGTGAACCGACAGTGCCGCTTCTGTGGTACCGGTCTTTACGTTGCACGGCCGCGCAGGGCATGAGGGTTCTAGGAGTTTAGGGTTTGGGGTTTTAGAGCTTCAAGGTGGAGGCTTTAGGGTTTCAGGTTTTAGGGTTTAGGGTTCGAAGTTTGGGTTTTAGGGTTTTAGGGTTCTGAAGTTGGATGCATTTTAAAGGCAGCCTTTGCTGAGCCTGCTTTTTTCTCGCGCCAGCGCCATGGACCCCAGGCGGATATTCCGTGCCCCATCGAGTCACCCAACAATGAGTCAGCCAATGAAACTGACATCATCCCTTGATTCGCAGCCTGGTCGCACATTTCTGGCCGAACATTTCTGGCCGATGTCGGCTCTCTTTTGCTGCACATGAGTGTCCTCACCTTTTTTTGCATCGCAGGTGCCGCGCAGAAGGTCGGCGTGCCAGTTCCTCGGAGATCTTTGCTTAGAGGCTCTAGCCTCTGGAATATTTTGTCGCAAAGATCAGTTTCCCAAATCTCTCGTATTATGTCTGCAGCCACTGCTGACGCCGTAGACGACATACAGACGGGCCACAAGTGCCCAAGGCATGCTTCGCAGACCATGCCGCTGTAATGGCACCATGTTTTGCGGACTGAGACAGCTTTCCCTTGTGGGTGGGTAGGGCGCTAGGGGTCTGGGCTTAAAGGTATTGGATGACTCCTTCCCATGTTTTTGCTGATTTTCTCTTCGTCCACCACGCCCAGAAGTTTGCGTGTCCTGCCATTGCCAAGAGGCAACCCACCAGGCCACTTCTGTACAGCGGCCAGCCTTGCAATGGTCGGGTGAAAGCCCGGCTTTGGCTGCAATTCACGTAGGTTGTTCAGGTGGGCCTGCATGTTGCACGTTGGGCATACTGCCGGCATTTTGGGTGCTCACCTGAACGAGGCTGCATAGACATGTAGAGTGATCTTCCGCAGCACACGCGACGAAGATCTTCAGCGCCGACGAAAGACTGCGGCGCGCCCGGACTTCCGAGATTACGAAGGCCTACTAGGACCATTTGCATTCCCAGGCACGAGCGTACATTACTCCACTCCTGTTAGGGCGCTACATGGCCAAAATTTGCTGGCACAGAATCCTCATGACGCCCTACACAAGCGCTCAGTTATCCCTAGCCCCTTAACCTTCCCCCCTAAGCCCCTAATCCTTAAACCCTAAACCCTTTATCCCGAGTCCCTAAACCCCTAATCCCTAAACCTTAAATTTTGTGGGGAGTACCAGGGAGTTGAACCGTATTGTTGGTTGCAGATGCAGATCGCCCGCTGCTGACAGGTGAGCCTGAGGAAGGCAGGAAGGGGAGAGTTCCAGTTCGGGATGTGAGCTATAGTCTAAACCCCTTAAATGGGGTTATATAGGGGAGTATATATGATATGGTTCTAGTGGTTATTAAGGGGGATACTAGGAGTTTAGACTATGGCTCATGCAGGGTTTAGGGTTTAGGGTCTGCCCCCCAAGAATGGACAATGAAGTGGAAAAGGAAAGGGTATACACTGACATGAGGTCTAGAAGCATCAGGGTTTAGGGTTGGTAGGATTGTTCGTGGAATCTGGGGAGTCGGGGTTGAGGAGATTCAGCGTTTTGTACCTCAGGATGTGCATGTTCGTCTTCGAGGCCCTAATCCTTAAACACTTCTTTCTGTTCAATCTATATAACCTCTTATATAACCTTTACATAACCCTACATAATCCCTATATAACCGCCATAGAACCCCTGCAAACCCTACAAATGTAGGCCGTTCGTCTGAGGGCTCTGTAATGAGGACCAATCTGTCTAAGTCCTGTAAAAAGTGGAGCGTAAGACTTCAGAAGTTGCAGGTAAGACGTGGAATCAGGGTTCAAGGGTTTAGGTTCAATCTAGGGGATTATACCGAAATGGCCTTAGGTTGGGGATTGAAATTATTCTAAGTCACCTTGTAAAAGATGGAATCAAGGTTCAAGGGGTTAGGGTTTATGGTCGTTGTCAGTGAATTCTGTGGGCCCTGCTTCAGTTTGAGGTGAGCATTTGTACTGGGGAACAGGGGGACGGGGAACAGGTGATTGGCAGTTTCTCATGAAAGCGTGACGAATACTCCAAGCACTCACCACATTGTGTTCAATATTCCTAGAAAGTCCTGCGCACTTAAACCCTGTTTCCATTTCCTTTTCCATTTGATTCTCCTTGATTCTCTTTTAGTCTGGGACTTTAGTACGCCCCTATGAGCCTTACACCCTGAATACACTTGCTTGCCAGGTGGTGACCGTGCTGCCGGAATTGCTTCAGCGCTGGCAGCCCACGTCCCAGCCCCCGTAGTCTGGGTGGGGCATTGCAGTGAAAGCGGTTTGAGGCACTCGTAAACCCAAAACCCTAAACCCTTAACCCTCGGGTGAGGAGGACATTGTCTTCTTAGAGTTTAATATCCACACATCAAGACTGGGGAATAATGAAACATATGAAAGTCAGTACCACTGTAGCAACAGTAGTCTACTGCTGCTACTCCTGGTGCTTGTGCTTTCTTATCACAAGATGGGAGCTTTCCTCAATAGGGGACCACAATATAGACCCCAACATACTATCGTCCTTACTATAGGGACCCCCCCCAAAAGGCGCACAGAATCTTGGGAAGCTCTAAGCCCCATATAACCCCTATACACACCCTTATAGAACCCCATATATGATCCTGATAATTTTGGCAAAGCCCCCATATAGGCACAGCATTGCACTCCACCAGGTGGGGAGACGTTGCGTATTCTGTAGGTTCATGCCTGGACTATGGGGGACTATCTAAGGT